TTTAAGCAGGAAATGCTCAGCTGGCCCCTCCCACGCTCTGGTTGTAACATCTGAAATGGACAAACAATGGTGAGTAAAAAAAAAAGACATAATTTACCATGAATGTACCTTGAAACAAAGTAAACAATAATGGTTCAGAAGTGTACATATACATAGATGTAAACTGCAGCAATAATGCAGTCATCTCTGAACAATGTGAGCACATTGTTTTCCATCAGTTGTATAAAATGTCTCGTCTTTGTCTTGTCCCTTTTGTCCCATATTTTCTCTAATCTTTGATGACCACTTTTACAATAGCAGCACATGTAAGTAATTCTGTGGCACTTATAACTAATACCTTTTGTAGTGACATTGTGTGAGTTCTCTACCAACTGTAGCTTCAAGGTCTTAAATGAACATATATCAGGAAAATCCTAATAGAACATCTGAACTTTATTCTAATCAAGAAAGCTTCTCATTTATAATTGATGGTGGATATGGAATTTAAAAAATACCTGAATACTAACACTAAATCAAAGGCGTTTGTGTGGTCATACAGATGAAAACAAGTTATTGGATCTTTTATTATTTTTTTTAATTCTTACAATACATTTGCTTATTTTTCACTGCACAGGATACATCTCACATTACATTTGCACAAAGTTCTGAAGTGGTTTTAAATTGGGCATATATGTTTTGTTTTTATACCTGGCATTTTTACAGGGGTGTGTATACTTTGTTATTTTTAAAGCATATTTGCAGTGTTCACAGTGCCATAAATTGGCGACCGTTGGATGTTTCCTTATTCTTCCTAGCTTGTGTATTTTTGTTTCTGCAAAAACGTTATCAATAAATAATGTTGGCGGCATCTAAAAGTGTGACTGACATGCTAATTAGATTTGGTTTCTGTCTCCCATGTCCCACTGTTGGTTTCTGGTCTTCCAGGGAGTTATTTTTGAGCCAAATGTGGGTCACGACTCACAAGGTGTTATTTTTAAGCATCAGTCCCTTTAGCCAGCTTCTGAGCCACAATAAATTCAACAAGGCTTGATTTGCATTTTTAAAAAGGACAGCTTGGAGGGCTGCTGTACTTCCTTGGTACTATTTCTGTCTTTTTTCTCTATAATTTCTTCTCTGATGCCAGTTATTTCAGGAACACGTACACTGAGGAGATGCTATGTCTGGCTTTGGTTACATCTATTGTGATGTGATTAAGACACCTACTGCCTGAAGATGCTGTATCCTCACCGTAAAACTGTTCAAATACACAAGAGAAAGTACAGAAAGATGCTGGCGCAGCACTGTGTATAACACAGATGGACTTTAATTAGTTTCCAGGATCTATGTTACAGTCCTCAGCATCTATATTTAAGCGTTGAGAAGCTCTCCTCATATTTGTTCTGCAGTTTAACTTTGTCATTAGTGTTTGGCTCTGGTGACTGACCACATTTTGGCATGGGACTAAATTACGATACGGCTGCTGTAAGCGTGGGTGTCGCTGATGGCTTTTCTACTTGACCCCTTTTCCATTACAGAGTTTGACTGAGCTAGTATTTAATATTCTGCTACTATTTTGGGTCTTTTCTCAAATCCAATTAGGTTCCCGAATTTACTGGATTACGACACTGCCATTGGGATTTTAAAAGCCTCAGTTAAGTCTTTGCAGACTTATCATAGACAATTTAAAGTGAAAATATTCCAAACACCGACTCATTTGGGTGTAGAAAGTTGCATATACAGTAGCTTTGCACTAAGTTGTCAGTTTGCTTACTGCTGTGATCAGATGTTAGGCAAATGTGTTTTTTATTTAAGTATTAGACTTAATAAAGTGGACTTAATATCAAACTGGGTCTGCTGCAGACATAATTATTCACATTTTGAATCAATTAATCTGTAACACTTCTTCATATTGCATCAGGTTTGGACATTCAGAACATCTATTGTAATCTTAATTTGGCTTAAAAATGTACTTGGTTCTAAAAAATCTAAAAAATATAAATGAATCAACAAATGAAAACCAAAAGAGTGTAGGATGAAGCTGAAGCTTGTGGTGCCTAGCTTGAAAATCACACCTGACTGTTACCATTCAAGGAAAGTAAAATATTAGACTCCTTGTCAACATTTCGGCCTTTTGTTGATGAAATATGGAGCTAACATGAACGTCAAAGTAAAACACATTATGTTTTTAGAACAAGAGCTCCAGAGCTGAACATCTGTAACAGATCCACAATCAAGTTTTGAATTTGTCTGAAGCAGGGGTATATTAAAACCTGAACTAAAATCACATTTATTTTCTCTCTCTTTGAAGTGCTCCTAGACATGTTTTGGGATCTGATTATTCTTTGCTTAGTATATGATTAGAAGTATTTTAAGGTCTACTTAATCTCGACATTGCAGTTGTATAAGTAATGGATTTGCCAATTCACAGTAAGGTTTAACACATATGGTTTTGTTTGGTGATAAAAAAAAAAAAATGACTTTGTGGGATTTACAGTTTAACATATTAAGCCTTGACATCAAAACTTAAGATTTCACTTTTACCCCAAAAAATCTGATACACTCAGTCACCTCTGGGTCGCACAAAGTTTAAGCAGACAAAACAGATGGTGTGAAAAATGGAGTGAAGGGAACAATAGGTAAAACCAACTCTTAGGTGATACCTGAGGCAGCCCTTTCTACTAACACCCTTTGTGAAGCCTCGACTATCATGGGACACTTCAATAACCATTCGCACCTTCAAACGTGTCTAAAACATCCCACATTCTAGTCAGGAAAGCAAACGACTTATAGATGACAAAAAACATCAAAATCATTCATAAGGTGGGAGAGTGGGTCCCAGTTTAACTTTTTTTTTTCCTGTGGTTACAAATATATTGCATTGTTCTTTTGTTTTCATTCTGAATACATAATTTGTTCTTGTTAAGCCATTGTTTAATTAACTCCAGGTAATTTTCCATTGTTTCCAAATGTTAAATCATTAACAAACAAAATATACTTTAGCAGATTTGAGAGACAAAAATATCCTTTTATGTCTCAAACATCTTTTTTTGGGGAAAAAAATATGTTTCTACCAGGAATATGTCAAGTAGATGTGTAGCTGCCAATGGGAAACACTTATAGGTTTGAGTTTGAGCGCTCTTGCTTTCTAACCCAACTGTTTGCTCTGTCATTGTAAAATAATTAAAATGTTTTAAGGGAAAGAATAATTCAAGACTGAGGGACAATGACACACAGTTAATGGCAATGGAAAAACAAATTCATTGCAATAAGTCAGCAGCAAGAGCATCAAGGCAATTGAAGGCTGTCTGTGGGGAAGAAAATTCATCAGGTTAAAAAAAATGTATATATATATTGATATTTAGTTGTGTCCTTTATCATTAGAAAACATTTGAGATGTTTATGGAAAGTAATCACTCTCTCCAATAAGCCCCCTGGATGTTTACATACACAGCAGTTATCTGCAGCAATAACTCATTATTGTTATCATCTGAACCAAATCCTTACTTTCAATGCTGTGGTAATGTTAAACTACGTGAGTTCACAGATGTGTGTGGTAGAGTGAGACTTTTAACTGCTTCCTTTCGCTGTAGCTATGTTTTACACAATCACTACGGCCTGGTAATTTAAAGTACCCCGAAGACACCAATCTTGGGAGGAAATTTAGTCCAACACATCCAAATAGCAATGTTGGTCAGAACTGGAGTAGAAATGACAAAATCTACATGGACAGCCAGAATTTTAGGTGCATCCACAACACCCTTTGTGACGCCTCAACTGTTCTCCTGGGGCACTTCGATAACCATTCACACCTCCAAACATCTGACTAAAATATCCCACTTTCTGGCCAGGAAGGTAAACATCTCACAGATGACAAAAAGACACACAAAATGATTCACAAGATGGGAGCATGGGCCCTGAGTTCCTCTGGGAGAATTCACCCTCTAGCTTATAAGGCTAAATCCTACCTTTGGTGGTAAGAACTCAAATAACCTTCCTAGTGAGAATCAGAAAAAGAACCATTTTGAATCAGTAAAACCATTGCTGGCCTCAACAGTTCTGTCTTTGAGACTGACTGTCCTCTGTGGGACACCCATTATGAAAATTTCCCCCTCTGGCATTAAGTTTTTTTTTTCATTATACATTTGCCATGTCACTTCCTTTTTCTGTCTGCGTTATAACAATATGCCCTCAGAATGATCTCTAATTTACACTGTGAGATCATTCATTATGTAGCACGTTTAACTATGAGGTTTGTTCACACCTGCTTGAGGTGGCAGGTTAATGCCATTTTGTATGTAAATGGTTCCTGCTTCAGGGGTTTGCAGATATTCTCACAGAGGCACTCATGGAGAAAACTCTTACCACTGGGTTGCTAACATCAACATCCCTACTACATTGTGATTCAAATTTAGACTGTCAAATCTTTTAATTTCAAACATCATTGCTTTTGTACTTATAAAATCAAATTTAACTGGCTGCTTATTTTCCCTTTAATGAGTTTCAGGAGCTGTTTGACGTCACTTCTCAGGAAGTGAAAGAGGATTTATGTCACCTTTTGACACATTGTTGAGCCACACAGTGAATAGGTGGTTATCACTTATTGCTTCACAGCAAACTTTTTGGTTTGCTGTGACCGAGTCCATTCCATATGAAATTTGTGAGCTTTGGTTTTTTTGTGTTTTCCATCCATAAGTCCTAGAAATGGGCATTAATTTTCATTTTAATCTTAATCAAGTTTCAATGTGTGGATGAATAGTTGCTCGTCTTGTGCCAGTCGATTATTGGCACCTGGAATTTAGAATAGATAAAATAATCCAATCCAATCTCCATCTTTTCTGCACGCTAACTAGTTTCTTGACTGCTTGATTTCATCCAAAAATAATAATGAACACATTTTTTTATGTAAAATTATTAGTAACTTAAGCATTTTGAAGAAAACCTCACCCATTTGTTGGCCTATATAATTTCAGTTTTCTAAACATAATCCTACTTCTGCTACTGAAGAGACATTTTGATGAGGTCGGAATAGTCATTGCTTTTGGTAATTACACATCAATGATCTGATTGATTAATTTTCAAATGTTTAATCTCCTCCATAATTTGGCTAGGCTGACGGTGAATTCTTCCTGAAGGTGTGTTTAGTGGCACAGCTGAAAGTGATTATCATTTGTTCCAGACAAAACGGAGATGCATCACCTTGACGTCTGTGCCTTCAGATTTCTTTCCATGTACTTTGTTTTTGTCTGTTTGAGCTCATTAAACGTGGCTAGGAGACCGAGTAGTATGTCCCGAGGAGGAAGCTCGTCTTCCAAAAGCATTACCGTAACACAGTGCGTCTATCCCCTGGGTATGCTTCTCTGCCCGTCCCCACTCTTTTGTGGCCCCGAGCCAAACTATGTGTGTATATTTGATATTATTAGTAGGAAAACTGCTTTAAGGTATAGAAAATGTCAGGGAAGAGAGCTATTTTTAACAGCTGGCCTTGATTCTTTTATTCCCTCCTTTTTTTTTCTTTTTATATCTATGCATGCAGCATGCTCTTTTTCACCACTGGGAATTATACCGAGTGCTGGCTGGGTATCAGCGCCCCCTCTTTCACCTCCATGCCCTGCCCACTTCCATACTTTGAAGGCTGATAAATCACAAGGTGTCAGGCTCTTCCACCTCACATGAAAACAGAAAAGTTGGCCATTCTGAGACACGCAGCGGAGCCATCATAGCTTTGCTATTTTTAGATAACTTCCTTTTTAATTTGATTCAGCCAGTGACAAATTAATCAAGCGCCTAGCCAAGTGTTTAAATAGATTCTTCCAAGCGCTATGCAAAAATCCAATCCTGCAGTTATTGATACATACTAGTCCTCACTGACATTGTAGTGCTTATGCAGGCAGGAGAACTCCTCCTCCGTTGTGTCAGCTGAGATTTGTCAGACAAAGAAAATGCAGATATCATTTTATGTGTGCTCGTAGAAGTACACTCAAATGCAAATGTTTGAGTGGAAACTACATAGTTAGAGTGGAAACATCTGACCTATACCTTTTATAATTAATCACTGAGAACGAACTGGTTAATTGCAGAGAAAAAGTTTACATTTTCTCCCTCCTCTGGCTTTTCTCTTTAGATGTTTGGAAAGCATTGTTATCTACCACTTTAGAACCCATGGAGATTATAATCTCTCAGTTGCCTTGATCACATTGTTTCAGGGACATATTTTGAAAAGAGACAGAGAGGAGAATAGTATGACTCTGTGATTAAATCTTTGTCTAAAAATACCAAATTTGTGAGCTGTCATTCTAGAACAAAAGAGGAATATTTTCCCTTTTCAAATGGGAATAAAAATGCAATGTTGTTCCTTTGTCAGACTGTTATTTTTGGTGCTCAATGTGGAAAGTGTAATTACAAAGCATTATGTTGCTTTTTTCACTGCAGACTGGGCCAGACTTGAGCGAGGCAGCAGCTCGGTTGTAACGATACATCTATTCGTTCTGATGATTTTCGGCATGGCCATTTTGGTTCATCGTGTTTTTGTACCACACAAATGGTCATGGTTAATGCCCAGTATACAAAAGGGTTGTATACGAAGAACTAAAGGGCGGACCTTCAAGTTTCACTCATTCCAATGTGAAAATTTATAATGCGACGTCAAATATTATAAAATAGCATTTCAGCCTATCTTTACAAATGGGGTAAAGTAAAGTGGTTTGAACTGAAGCTATGTCAGTGTTTTTAACAGCAATAAAGTAAAAAACCTGCTCTCTGCTGAACCACTCACATGAAGTAAAGTCAAAAATGTAAAACATATTGTCTGTAATACTCAACCATCGCTAATGCCATGGGAACCATTATTGTTACGACTGCAACCAAGCACCGGTACCGTGTCAGAAGGAGGAAGAAGGAATGTTTTATGAAGGATATATATGTGGTTTTGGAAAACCTACTGCAATTAGGAAAAACTTAGATGTGATGTGTGTCTTAAAATCAATCTGATGTAATTTGCATGCATAAAAGAATGGTGTGTGTAAATGTAGTGTTGATGTTGTAGTTCAAGTCATATTTGTTAGAACTCTTGGTAAAGATGTGTAAAAAAACAACAAATAAACTGTCAATTTGATGCAAGCGCATAATTCCTCATCCTTTTCTTCTTTATTTCCAGATCTAAATCCTGCAGAAAAGGAAGAACTGATCTAAAGCAAAATTTTGAAAAGACCAAGGGATGGCATAGACAGATGGTACAAACAGTGAAGCGCCAAATTAGTGAAATGTTTTTAAGAAAGCCTAAGTACTGTTGTATTGCCGTTTTTTTTTTTTTCCGTTTTTTTTTTTTTTTTTCTTTTAAAAAAGATCAAGAGGAATTGTGTCCCTGATTCTGCTTGGTAAATATTATAGTTTAAAAATTGTAATAAATGGGAATATTTACACCCAAATTAAAAACAATTTTGCCCCTGGAAATTTCCAGTGTTAGACTGTGCTACAGTAGCTAAAGATGAACTCATTTTGAAGCTTTAAGTACAGCTTTACAAGGGGTAGCAATAAATGTGGCCAGGTCTGTACGTGTCGTGCCAAGACTGCTTCTTGCAGAATGTACGAGTGTTGCAGAAAACATTACTACCATGTTACATTTGATGTCAGCGAAAGCATTAATTAAGGCTATGTTTGTATTTTGGCAGGCCTACATCAGGTTATAAAAAAAACTTTTTTTTGGAAATTTTTTTTTTTTTTTTTTGCAAGAAATGGACATTATATATGACAGTGTTTCCCATCCCTGGTCCTGAAGGCACTCTTCCCTGCATGTTTTCAATCTGTCCCCGCTTTGATACGCCTGATTCACCTGATTGCTGTTCAGCAAACACCTTCAAATCAGCCATCAATTGAAAACAGCTGGGAAGGAAACTCCTAAAACACGCAGGGCACTGTTCCTTGAGGACCAGGGTTGGGAAATACTGACATGGTGTAAAATCCAAGGTCTGTAAAATCACCCTGGGCTTTAAACGGCAGTAAATGTACTCGCTTACAGAGGCAGAGGAGAGAAAAGAGCAAACACCGGTTATGAAAGAGTGTATATGGAAAATGAGAGAGGTAGTGACAGAATGAGAAGACGTAGAGGCTGTGCGGCTGGCACCGGCCTAGCACATTCATTTTGAAAGGCCACAAATCAGTCAGCGCTATGTGAGTCATTGTGCACAACTTGAAACAGCAGCCAGTGTTCACAGTGTTGGAGAGTGATCAAATAGGACTGAGGTGCAAATGAACACACTGAAGTGAAGATGAAATGCATTTTGCTTTTAATTTACTAGTTCCTTTTTTAAAGCTTGTTTACTGCGCATTTGTGTTGCAAGTAATACATGCAGTCATGTTTATCCACCTTGAGAGCAGCTACTGACCCTGTGTGGTCCAGTCATGCATAAATGGTAACTATTCCCCAGGGACTTGTAGTGTTCAGAAAATACCTAGTTTAACTGTATGTAGAGTTGTGTACAACGCGTTTAACTGACTGACACAATTTTGTCCAGAGACAGCAGCATTAGGCCTGACGCCTCCTTTACTGATTATGGGATTTATTGAACATCGTGTAACCTACAACAAAACCCAGTATGTTCTGGTGGATCAAAATACACATCCTGAAATGCAGGTTGAATACATTATGGGGTATTTCTTTTGTTCCCACTGTGTGTCCTTGTTAGAAATAAATTCAGAATAGATTTTTTTTTTTTTTTTTTTTTCTTGTTTAACAACCCTTAACTGCGGGACAGCACAATAATGAGGTAGGTGATATTTAGTGGGTGGCCTTCCAGACTAAAGCAAAGTGAAAGCTGCATGCTAGGTTGTAATTTGTTTCTTATAAAACCCCAGTTCAGTGTCTGACTTCATTACATCTGAGAAAGTGTCACAAGCTGTATTTCACCAGTAAGTAACCAGCAGCTTTAAGCTCATAAAACCTCTAATCTCAAGGGTTGATGCAAGATACTGTACCGCCTCATCTCTGCTGAGCTTTGTTGCACAGGACTGCAATTTCATGGCTTTCATGCAAAGAAGCCTGCATGTTGAGCTGAAAAGTAATGCTACAAATGGATACTCGTGATGAATTGAAAGTTGACAATATACTTCCAGATTTTCTTTTTCTTTTGGTTAAGTTTTTGTAGACAACATAAAGCCTATATGTTTTATATTCCTATTTATTCGTTGGTACCGATGAGCTTTTCATTTCAGAGTTTTGCCCCGGTCAAGAACAATTGGATGGAATAATTTTCTATTAATGCTTTGGGAAACGCTGGCATGGAGGGTAACTAGTTTTATAACTTACAACTGTTCTTACAGAGTTACATTTCTGAAGCTGGTATGTCTGGGGTTTCTAAGAAATCAAACACTTCAAGATGCAGTATGTTTTCATGGCTCAAAAACCCAGTGAAAGTTGAAGCTCTCAGCTGTAGCACTACTGGCAATTTATTTCTCCTAAAACTAGTGGCACTTGGATCTGGACAACCTCTGTTTGTGAACATGTTCCTTTAGTGTTTAGACAGAAAATTGGCGTTGGCTTGTAAGCTTACAAGTAGCTAGTAATTTACTTTTGCAACATAAACATCCTTAACTGAAATGTAGCATTTCAATATCCAAACTGCCATTTCTGAGACGCACTGAAGCTTAATGTTATGGTAGTTTTTTTTGAAAACTAGGAGAAAATTACTTTGAAACAACTGTTTTTCTATTTTGGTGGGCCACTTCTTTCTTATTTTATTTGGTTTCACAGTCTAAACATAGCTGGATCTGTTTTTTTTTTCTTTCTTTCTTTCTTTTTCTGCTTCTCTGCTGTCATATTTTTGACCTTGTGTGCTTCAATTTTTTTTTCAGATAATCGCTGTAATTTTCTGGCTTGAATTAACCTGGAAGTACTGTGATAGGTCTGTGCATTGTCAGACCATCTTGCTGAAAGATGTCTTTCTTTAGCACAAGCTACAAGTTTCCCCAGAGGACTCTGGGACCTGAAGCAGCATTCGATTGTGTCTGTGTCTCCAGAGCCTTTTCATTAACTGAAGCGTGATAGTTTCCACAGCTTGTTCCACTTTGCCTGAATCAAATATTCCTCACATGCGAGGCCGGCCAAACCTCCATTATCATATTCATTACCTACTGCAAACCACACATGCAAGACTGAACTCCCCCTCTGACCGAATGTAAGCGAGCAAGACTTCCCGTTAGAAAAATAACCTCTCCTCCTTGGTTAATATTAGTCTTCTAACTAACTTCTTTCATCATTGTCTTGTTCAATCTGAGATGTGACTTGTGCACAGAGGGACTACCATCAGCACAGAATTAGTAGGACTTATTATTAAACTCTTCAGTTAAGAAGAAAAGAATTAAAATCAACATAGCAGTACCTCAAACGTATAGAGAATGTATTTAATTTACTCAAAATTATTGTTCAACAGCTGTTTTTAGTGGATTGTTTCTAAAAAAATATATATATGTATATATAATATATATGTGTGGGGGTGAAGGATCCTCCAGCTGGATTCACTCAGCACCAAAATCCAGTTTGGACAGCTAATTGAACAAAGAGATTGAATGATTGATTTGTGTGTAAATCCTTTCCCACAGATGGTTATAAAACAACCTTTCTGCATAATCGGTAGTTTTGTACTCTGAATGTTGAAAAGCCCATAGTCTGCAGTGGGCAATAGAAGTGCCACAACTTTGTGCTGTTTTCTGTTTTATTCCATTTCTTAGTAGTCCTTGTCACATAAATAATTGTGCATCACTGGTCTATGTCAGTCAGTCCTCAGCCCACAGTTGCTCTGGAAAATTGCCTTTTACTTCATATTAGTCTTCAGCTAGGAGCATGGAAAAGCAAATGCTTTTGATTTGCATTTTTCTTCATGACTTGAAGAAGTGTTCCATTTGCTCTTGAGGTTCCCTGGGATGATCTAGGGAACCTTAAGAGCAAATTGAACACTGCTTTATTTTTGTTTAATGCCATTTTTATGACGGATTAAGAAAGTATGACCACTCATTCCTTTCTCATGCTGTCTAGGCTATTTATTTATGCAAGACTGGCTTTTGAACTATTTTCTATATTCTATCCATACGTAGAAGTTTTTTTTTTTTTTTCTTTCTTCCACCTATTTACAAAGGCAGTAAAATTGCACACATTTATTTCTCTGTGACAATGTTGGCAACAGTGGTAGGAGAGTTCGCCTTGCAATTGATAGGTTGCTGGTTCAACCTGCCTCTGTTGTTGTGTCCTTGTGCACAATGACAAGACACTTCACCTGCCTCAGCTGCTGCTGCTGCTGCTGGTCAGAGGGCCCGGTGGCATTGGTGCATGGCAGCCTTGCCCCGGGGCAGTCTGACAGAAGAAAAAGAATGAATAAATCATCCTGAATACATGAAGCTACACAAAGTACTTGGAGAGAAAATAGGTGTGTCTGATTCAGTAAATGGTGTGGCTGAGCATTAACTGAGGAGGATCGGTCAGAAAAAGCTAAACACAAGGTGAACATGGAATTCAGCTACATATGACTAACATGACTAAAGATGACAAGTGAAAAGCATCTTGGCAACATGTTGCATCGAAAACGGGAAGTACATAGAATAGTGGACAAAAGACGGACTAAGAAAACAAAAGAACAAAACAAACGCATGAAATACCCTCCATCCATTATCTTACAGGATCTTCGGTGTCCAGCTGGCCAGAGACGGAACAAACAGCCTCACATTCACACCTAAGGAGGATTTAGAGAGACCAATTAACCTGACAGTCATGTTTTTGGACTGTGGGAGGAAGCCGGAGTTCCCAGAGGGAACCCACGCATGCACAGGGGGAACATGCAAACTCCATGCAGAAAGACCTCAGGCCGAGAAATGAGCCCTGACCTTTTTAGCAGCGAGGTAACAGTGCTACCAACTGCGCTACTGTGCAGCCCACTTGAAATGCCTATATAAAAACAAAACAATTAAATTAACTCAGCCTTTCATCTCATCCGTTCAAGAACTAAAACGTGCCCATGCCAAGATGCAGTTAGCCATGAAAGATTAATCACAAAAACTGAAAATGATAAATCTATTTATTAAAGACCAATCAATAAAGCAAACTTACAAGTCTAGCTTTAATATTGAGCA